AGCCGCAAGAGAGAATACAGCGAGTTGGACTGCAGTCAAGTTTCTTCTCTACCCAGCACTGCATAAGGTCCACAATTGCTTCCTTGATGGTCCGGATGAAACAATCCTCTCCCTGGTCGGTGATGCGCATGTAGAACCGTATTCATGTTGATAAATGTGGAAAGATATTAAAGAGAACGAATATCACAATACAAAAGATAAATTTTAACGCTTTCAAATATATCTTCGTCAGAAATACATAAAAATACATCGCTTGTATTGTGAAGATATTCGTTCTCGTCCATACCTTTAAACACGTTCGTATGTAGCTGAGGTTGGTGTCGCCCAGGAGGAGAACCGTCTCGCGTGGAGGGCAAGAGTCCGGCCCTGGCATCGGCTGTGGGCCACGTTCTCTGCTTCGACGCACCTCTTCTTCAAGCACCGGTACGTGATCTCTGAGTTTATCAATCGTAATGGAGGCAGTCTTTAATTACGACCCCCCCCCCCCCTTTGCCCAATGTCTATGTAACCATGTACTTTCTGTGAAAAATACAGCTTTGTAAGGATTGTATCTTCCTGCGAAAACGGCAAAGAGGCAACGGAACTCACAGACGTTCGGGTTCTCTCTGTCGTGAGAGAGAGACAGAGAGGGAGAGTGAGAGAGGGGGGAGGAGGGGGAGAGAGAGATAGAAAAAAAGAAAAGAGAGACAGAGACAGAGACAAAGATATATAATATAGAGAGAGAAACAGACTGAGGGAGGGAGAGAGAGAGAGAAGGGAGGGAGAAAGAGAAAGAGAGAGAGAGACAAACAGGCTGACAGATGAGGAACGGAAGGACAGTGTGTGTATTTGTTAATGAGAAGGAGAGAAAGAGAGGTAGGGCGAGAGGAGAAGAAGAGAGATGGAATGAGAGAATAAGGGGGTGTATATGTAAGAGAGAAACCAGACGATGCGATGACAGGAAACAGGCAGATGGAGGAGGTGATGGATGGGATACTGATGGGGTTAACGAAAAAGATAATCAAAATCAGAAACAGCAGAGAGAGCGAGAGTGAGAGGGAAGGAGGGGGAGAGAGAGAGAGGGAGAGAGAGAGAGAGAGAGAGAGAGAGAGAATGAGAGGGAAGGAAGGGAGAGAGAGAGAGCGAAAGAGAGAGAGAGAGAGGCAGACAGAGACTGACAGAGGAAGATAGAGAGCGAGAGTAAGAGGAAGGAGGGAGAGAGAAGAGAAGAGAGAGAGAGAGAGAGAGAGAGAGAGAAAGAGAGAGAGAGAGAGAGAAATAGAGAGAGTGAGAGGGAAGGAGGGAGAGAGAGAGAGAGAGAAGAGAGAGAGACAGACAGACAGAGGGAGAGAGATGAAAGGTTAAGTAAGTAAATAGATGGGAAAGATTTTTATTATAGAGAAAATGAGATGAGAAATGATATTAAAAGTGTAAGAAAAAAATATGAAAGCACAGATGAAAAATAATGGCGAGAGATGAGTCAGAGACACATGAAAGAGAATATTTTCCCCTCTGTTCCCTTCCCCATACCCCTTCCCTCAGGCCCGACCTCATCCCCACACTCCCTCTCCCCTCTTGTCTTCATCCCCCTCCTATTCCCTCTGTTCTTCTCCCTCTTCCTTTGATCCTGTCCTCCCTTCCCTCCCTTCTATTTTTCCCCTCTCCTTTCTTCCTATTCTGTCATCTTCGGTCCAGACCCTTCCTTCCCTTCCATCCTTCCCCTCAATCCCAACTCCTCTCCCCCTTTCATCCCTTCTCCTCCCTCTCCTTTATTCCTCCTCTGACACTTCCCTTATCTTCACCCCTTTCTATTCCTCCCACTCCCCCTCCTCTCCCCTCTTTCGCCCTTCCTAGTCCCTCTCTTCCATACCACCCTTCCGTTCCCTCTTCTCCTCTCCTTTCACCCCTTTCTAGTCTCCCCCCTCCCCTTCCTCTTTCCCCCTTCCTAGAATCTCTCTTTCTTACCACCCCTCCCTTCCTTCTCCCCCCTCCTCCCTCTTTCCCCCTTCTTAGTCCCCTCTCTTCCATACCACCCTTCCTTTCCCTCTCTCCCTCTACCTTCACCCCTTTCTAGTCCTCCCCCTCCCCCTCCTGGAATATTCTCTTCTTACCACCCCTCCCTTCCCTTCTTCTCTCCTCCCCACTCCGTCCTCTCCCTCTTTCCCGCTTCCTAACCTCTCTCTTCCATACCACCCTTCCTTTCCCTTTTTCTCCTTCTCCCTTCACCCCTTTCTAGTCCTCCCCTTCCCCTTCCTCTTCCCTCTTTGCCCTCATCCCTGACTCCTTCCTCCTGCCCACTCTCCCTTCTGTCTATACTCCTCACTGCATCACCCCATTTCCCCTCTCTCGTTCACTGTTTAGAAAAGAGATGGGGAGACATTTTTCGTTTAACTTATGACTATGAGGTAAGGCAGAAGGAAGGTCCGTAGAAGTAAGAATTATCAAGTTCTTGGTTCTTCTTCCCCTTCCGTCTCTCTTTTTCTCTTTTCTTCTTTTTCTTTCTTGATTTTCTTTTCTTTCTCTCTGTCTCTCTCTCTCTCTCTTTCTTCTTTCTTCTCTCTCTCTCTCTCTCTCTCTCTCTCTCTCTCTCTCTCTCTCTCTCTCTCTCTCTCTCTCTCTCCTCCTTCTCTCTCTCTCTCTCTCTTCTCTCTTTCTCCTTCACTCTCTCTTCTGCCTCTCTCTCTCTTCACTTACACTTTCTTTCTCTCCTCCTCTCTCTCTCCTCTCTCTCTCTCTCTCTCTCTCTCTCTCTCTCTCTCTCTCTCTCTCTCTCTCTCTCTCATCTCTCTCTCTCCTTCTCTCTCCTATTGCGTAAGTGTGCTTGACCATGCAAATATAAGCATGAATACGTGCAATCAAAAAAAAAAAAAAAAAAAAAGGCGAACGCTTCAACCACCTCGATATCCGTGTGGCTAAAACGGATCCCCCAAAAGGCGAACTCGATCCTCTTAAAGATGATTATCGTCGATGGTGATGTAATCATTAAGAGGGGATTGCACTTTTCTCGGTCCGGACGAGGTCGGCTATCAGGCTGGTTACGTTCAGTGAAGAGGAAGAAGGGGAGGAGAGGAGAGAGAGAGGAGAGAGAGAGAGAGAGAGAGAGAGAGAGAGAGAGAGAGAGAGAGAGAGAGAGAGAGAGAGAGAGAGAGAGAGAGAGAGAGAGAGAGAAGAGAGAGAGAGAGGGAGAGAGACAGAGCAGACAGACAGACAGACAGAGAGCAGAGACAAGAGAGAGAGAGAGACAGAGAGAGAGACTGACTGACAGACAGACAAAAGACAGACAGAGTCAGACAAGAGAGAGGAGAGAGAGAGAGAGAGAGAGAGAGAGAGAGAGAGAGACAGAGAGAGAGAGAGGGAGAGAGAGGAATTGAGAGACTGAGACTAAGAGAGAGTGAGTGAGAGAGACTGATAATGAAAGAGAAGGAAATGGGTCGAGAGTAACAGTGAAGGAGAGAGACAGAATAAAGGAGGAAGAGAGAGAGAGAGAGGAAGAAGGTGGGTTGGGAAAAGACTGAGAAAGGGAGATGAGGCGGAGATGGAAAAAGTTGACTGGGAGAGAAGGAAAGAAGAAGGAAAATACGAGAGAAAGAAAAAATGAAGGTAAAAACAGACAGACCGAGACAACGAGAAGATATGTTAGTTTTTTAAATTAGAAAAATAAAATAAATATAAAAATAAATATAAAAAATAGAAAAAAATAAAAAAAGTTTTTGAATGCACTTAAGCAATACCTTATTTTGCATTAGGATTCAAGTGTCCGGTATCATATTCCAGTCCATTACATGTCCGTAATAAGGTGAATAGCAATATACACATAATCAACTGAAAGAATGAGGCGTTTTCGGAGCAACATATTGAATAATGTTAATAATTATAATAATAATGATAATGATAATAAAAGTATAATGATAGCAATAATTATAATATAATAATAATAATAATAATAATAATAATATAATAATAATAAAATAACAAATAATGAATATACTAATGAATATAATGATGATTAAAAAGTTTCATTAGCAATAACATAATTATGATAATGATAATGCAAATATTAAAACGTTAGAAGACATGCAAGACGAAGTATTAAACTTGGAAGCCGTTAGATGAAGCATTTGAAAAATCTTAGAAGAAAGATTAACATGGTATTAAAAGTTCAATAAAAAAAAAAAAAAAAAAAAAAAAAAAAAAAAAATATATAATATATATATATATATATATATATATATATATATATATATATATATATATATATATATATATATATAAATATATATATATATATAACGTTAGAAAACATACTAGTAAAAGCGTTATAAAGATATTAAAAAATATAAATATATTAAAAATATGTATATATAATAAAAGTTTTAAAAGGTTATAGATATTTAAAAAATAATAAATAAATAAGCATGAGATATACATTAGAAGATAAGCCAAGTAAAGTATTAGATAAAACTTTAGAAAACAGAGATAAAAGATTATCCACACCATTAGAAACAAAAAACAACCAAAACACAAAGTTAGAAAACATCCAATCAGAACACTAGAAAAACCCAGACAAGCGGAGACGAAACGAAAAAATCGCCCGCATATCAGTGAAACACATCCAATCAGAACGCTAAAAAAAAAACACACACAGACAAACGAAAGACGAAACGAAAAGGGCCCGCATAAACACAGCGAATCATGACACTGAACACCATTGCTTCATCGACCTCTGTAATGGCTTCGAAGCTTCGAGGAAGGGGATCTCAAACGGTCTGTCTTTAATGGATCATTTCCCCCTTGGCTTCCCGCAAGGTTTGTGGGTCGGATGGAGGGGGGAGAATGGGGAGGAGAGGTTGGGGGGTATAGGGGTGGGGGAACGGAGGAGGAGAGGGTTGGGGCGGCGGAGAAAGGGGATTGTGGGCGGGGAGGGAGGGGAGAGGAGGGGGAGAGAGGGTTGTGGGGTGGGGTGGGGAGAAAGGGGATGGTGGGCGGGGTGGGGCGGGGAGGGGGGAGGAGAGGGTTGGGGCGGGTGGGGGGGGAGAAAGGGGATTGTGGGCGGGTGGGGGGGAGAGGAGGAGAGGATCGGGGGGCGGGGTTGGAGAAAGGGGGGAGGAGAGGGGTTTGGGGGCGGGGAGAAAAGGGATTGGGGGAGGAAAGGATGAGGGGGGGTGGGGAGAAGGGGGAGAAAAGGGGATTGGGGTATGGGTAGGGGGTAAAGGGAGGGATTGGTGGCTTCAGGCGGGATGGGAGAAGCGGGGATTGGGCGGGTTAATGTGTATTACTTTAGAAGGAAGGACAAGTTAGAAGCGAAACAGAGAAATGAAAGATGGAAAATATTGATCGGAGAACGAGAGGAGAGACAGAAAGAAGAAAAAAAAAGAAACGAAAGAGAGAAAGAGACAAAGAGAGAGAAAGAGCATAGAAAGAAAATGACAAAGAAGAAACAAAGGAAGGAGGGAGAACAGGAGGAAGACGAAAGGTCACGTGATTTAGAGATGAGTCAACACCGCGTTATGTCTTTAGGAGAGCAAAACCGATTTTTTACTACCTGGGGAAGAGGATCAAGAGGGGGAGAGATGAAAGAGGGGGGGGGGGGCACAAGGAAAGTGTGACAGCAGACAGAGCGAGAGGACAGTTGTCTAGACAGGTAGAGGACGGAGGGGAGGGAGAGAGAGAATGATTGAGTAGAAGGTGAGAGAGAGAACGAGAGAGGTAGAGGGAGAGAGAGAGAATGATTGAGTGAGAAGGTGAGAGAGAGAGAGAGAGGAAAGAGAACGAGAGAGGGAGAGGGAGAGAGAGAGAGAGACACGGGATAAAGTCAGAGACAGACAAGAAAATGGAACGACAATAAGAGAGACAAAAAAGACATACAAAAAAGAGAGAAAATGACAATCACCGAGACAGAAAAAAAAAAAAAAACATCAGAAAAGCCAAAAAAAAAAAAAAAAAAAAAATCGACAGAGAGGGAGACAATAGCGAATACGAGAGTGAAGAATGACCCAAAGAAAAGACCCGGGGAATGGGAGAGTCAAAAAAAAAAAAAAAAAAAAGGAATCCTAACCCCAAAGTAGGATCAAAAGAGTCCGGAAAGGAAAGTCAGCCCGGCGTCTTGAATAAAGGTCCGTGATCATGATTTTTATTGTGGATTCGAAATAAAGAGTTCGTCTGGCCGGCGGACTCGCTGGGCTGCCGGTGCGCGATGCTTTCGGGTTGCTCTTGAGAGGGGCGAGATACGGCGGAAAGTTATAAATTATAATGTGTGTGTTTGTGTCTATATATATCTATATCTATCTATCTATTTATAATCTATATATATAATGTGTTTGTAGTGTGTGTGTGGTGTGTGTGTGTGTGTCTGTATGCATGTATGGATGGATGTTTGGAAAGATAGGGCAGATAGATAGATAGATAGATAGATTTAGATTATATATATATATATATATATATATTATATATATATATATATATATATATATATATATGTGTGTGTGTGGTGTGTGTGTGTGTGTGTGTGTGGTGTGTGTGTGGTGTGTGTCTGTATGCATGTATGTATGTATGTTTGGATAGATAGGCAGATAGATAGATAGATAGATAGATAAAAAAAAAAAAAAAAAAAAAAAAAAAAAAAAAAAATAAAATATATATATATATATATATAATATTATATATATATATATATATAATATATATATATATATCATATATATATATATATTAATAATATATATATTATATTTATATGTGTGTGTGTGTGTGTGTGTATGTATATGCGTTAGTGTCAGTGTGTGTGTGTTGTGGTGTGCGCATTGTGTGTGTACTCCTAACCATATATGCGAACACACATACACACAGCTACATAACGCACACGCACCGCACAGGGACAAACCGTTTCGTCTTCATAAATCAGGAAGCCAATAATTCCACCGTAACATGTTTACCGCACAACAAGAGACCGTCATCCCAACCCACGCCTCCTGCTGCAATCTTCGCCGTCATCTCTCGTGTCACACATTACGGCGAGGTCTCCTTAAACGCCTCGAGGAAGGCCACAGATTTCGTTGCAGGTGCTCTTGTGGGGGCGTGTCTCTCGAGGGGCGTGTCTCTCGAGGGGCGTGTCTCTCGAGGGGGCGTGTCTCTCTCTCGTGTCTCTCGAGGGGCGTGTCTCTCGAAGGGGCGTGTGTCTCGAGGGGCGTGTCTCTCGATGGGGCGTGTGTCTCTCGAGGGGCGTGTCTCTCGAGGGGCGTGTCTCTCGAGGGGCGTGTCTCTCTCTCGAGGGCGTGTCTCTCGAGGGGCGTGTCTCTGAGGGGCGTGTCTCTCGAGGGGCGTGTTCTTCTCTCGAGGGGCAAGGGCGTGTCTCTCGAGGGGCGTGGGGGGTGTCTCTCGAGGGGCGTGTCTCTCCGCGAGGGGCGTGTCTCTCGAGGGGGCGTGTCCTCTCTCTCGATGGGCGTGGTCTCTCGAGGGGCGTGTCTCTCGAGGGCGTGTCTCTCGAGAGGCGTGTCTCGAGGGGGCGTGTCTCTCGAGGGCGGTGTCTCTCAGGGGCGTGTCTCTCGCTGTCTCTCTCTCGATGGGCGTGTCTCTCGAGGGGCGTGTCTTTCTCTCGAGGGGCGTGTCTCTCGAGGGCGTGTCTCGAGGGGCGTGTCTCTCGAGGGGCGTGTCTCTCGAGGGGCGTGGTCTCGAGGGGCGTGTCTCTCGAGGGCGTGTCTCTCAAGGGGCTCTCGAGGGGTGTCTCTCGAGGGGCGTGTCTCTCAGGGGTCGTGTCTCTCGAGGGGGCGCTTCTCTCTGGGGGCGTGTCGGGGCGTCGTGGTCTCTCGAAGCGGCGTGTCTCTCGATGCGGCGGTGTCCTCTCTGCAAGGGGTGTGGTCCTTTCTCTCTCTCCGAGGGGCGTGCTGTCTAAGGGGCGTGTCTCTCGAGGGCGATCTCTCAGGGGCCGTGTCATCGAAGGGGCGTGTCTTTCTCTGAGGGGGGCGTGTCTCTCGAGGGGGCGTGTCTCTCGAGGGGCTGTGGGGGCGTGGTCTCTCGAGGGCGTGTCTCATCGAGGGGCGGTGTCTTCAGGGCGGGTCTCTCAAGGGGCGTGGTCTCTAGAGGGCGTGTCTCTCAAGGGGCGTGTCTCTCGAGGGGCGTGTCTCTCGAGGGGCGTGTCCTCTCGAGGGGCGTGTCCTCTCGAGGGGCGTGTGTCTCTGAAGGGGCGTGTTCTCTCGAGGGCGTGTCTCTCGAGGGGGGCGTGTCTCTCGAGGGGCGTGTCTCTCGATGGCCGTGTTCTCAAGGGGCGTGTCCTCTCGAGGGGCGTGTTCTCTCCGAGGGGCGTTCTCTGAGGCGTGTCTCTCGAGGGGCGTGTCCTCTCGGGGGGCGTGTGTCTCGAGGGGGTGTGTCTCTCGAGGGGCGTGTCTCTCGAGGGGGGTGCCTCTCAAGGGGCGTGTCTCTCGAGGGAGGTGTCTCTCGAGGGGCGTGTCTCTCGGGGCGTGTCCTCGAGGGGCGGTCTTCTCGAGGGCGGTGTCTCTTCGAGAGGCGTGTTTCTCTCAAGGGGCGTGTCTCTCGATGGGCGTGTCTCTCAAGCGTGCCGTGTCTCTCGAGGGGGGCGTCGTCTCTCGTGCTCCGATTGGGGATGCTCTCTCGAGGGGCGTGTCTCTCGAGGGCGCGTGTCCTCTCGAGGGGCGTTGTCTCTCGAGGGGCGTGTCTCTCTCGAGGGCGTGCCTCTCGTAGGGCGTGTCTCTCGAGGGGCGGTGTCTCTCGAGGGGGTCTCTCGAGGGTGTTCTCTCAGGGGCGTCTCTCGAGGGGCGTGTCTCTCGAGGGGCGTTGGGCGGTGTCTCTCGAGGGGCGTGTCTCTCGAGATGTCTCTCGAGGGAGTGTCTCTGAGGGGCGTGTCTCTCGAGGGCGTGTCTCTCGGGGCGTGTCTCTCGAGGGCGTGTCCTCGAGGGGTGGTCTCTCCGAGGGGCGTGTCTCAGGGGCGTGTCTCTCGAGGGGCGTGTCTCTCGAGGGGGCGTGTCTCTCGAGGGGCGTGTCTCTCGAGGGGGTGTCTCTCGAGGGCGCGTGTCTTCTGCGCGGGGGCGTGTCTCTCGAGGGGCGTGTCTCTCGAGGGGCGTGTCCTCTCGCGTGTCTCTCGAGGGGCGTGTCTCTCGAGGGGCGTGTCTCTCGAGGGGCGTGTCTCTCGAGGGGCGTGTCTCTCGAGGGCGTGTCTCTCAAGGGGCGTGTCTCTTAAGGGGCGTGTCTCTTGTCGTCGAGGGGCGTGTCTCTCAAGGGGCGTGTCTCTCGAGGGGGGTGTCTCTCAAGGGGCGTGTCTTTCTCTCGAAGGGTGATGTCTCTCGAGGGGCGTGTCTCTTAAGGGGCGTGTCTCTTGGCGACTTTGGTGGTTTCAGTGATTTGATTTGTGTGGGTCTGTGTTGGAAACGGACTGTGGGAAATCATGGCCGAAATTTGACACGTTTTTGCTCGTCAGATTAGAAAAAAATAATTGTTTTGATTTTCTTGTTATTGTTCTTAATAGTGTTCTGAGTATTCATAGCAATATTGATAGAGCTGATACATTTTTATCATTAATGTAAATGTCGTTTTTTACATATAGTATATTTTCATTATTATAATAATAAATAATGATGATATCAATAATAATGAAATAAGAAATAATACTGTCAATGATAATAATAATAACAGTAACAACAATAATGATAATGATAACAATAATAGTAATAATAATAACATGATTGTCATTACTAATACTCCTGCTGATAATGATAATTATGATAATAATGATAATAATAATAGTAATGATAATAATAACAATAATAATAATCGATGATTAATGTTTGATGATTGATGATGATAATGATGATGATGATTGATGATGGTTGATGATGATGATGATGATGATGATGATGATGATGGATGGATGATGATGATGATGGTAGTGATGATAGTAATCATGATGATTCTAACAGCAAAAAATACTGATAATATCAATATAAAACATAAATAATAACAGAGTTAGACTAGGATTCTTAATGTGAAGCGTGCACATGCGTGTTTTCTGTGATTTTTAAATATCTTTATTGTCAATAATACCCACATTTATACAAAACTTAATTAACTTCAAGTCCGCAGTCACATGTTATCATAAAAAAATAGAACTTAATAATTTGTTATAACATGCAATATGATATCAGGCTTCAAATATAAGTGAAATGTGTTTATATAAGAATTTCTATAAACCTTGACGTGTGGTAGACAGATAGACGAAACAGAATTATATGACTGATGATAATGAAAATGATATTGGTAAAATTGTTATTAATGATAATAATAACTAAAAATTGGCATTAATGATAACTAACGATAAAGCAATGATAATAATGATATCAATAAAAATAAGGATAATAACAATAACATCTATAACAAACTAATTAAAAAAAACGATCACAACGTTAATGACAATCACAACAATTATAAAAGTAATACCAACGATGATACAAATCATAATTATCATTATTCTAGTATCCTGGCATCAACTAGACGGATCATAATGGTAAGTCCTCCCTCCATCTTTTCCATAGCACCATCTGTCTCCCTCTCCCTAACTTGAATCTGGCTCCATCAACACATTACCAGCTTCCTCTTTATATTACTTCTTGTTTCTTCTTGTGTGTTATAGCGATTACTTTTCTGTGCATTTTTTAAGAGGTATTTCTTTTCTATGTCTTCTGTCTCTTCACGTTGTTGTTCCAGGTACTCTTTATTTGATTGGGGTATTAATGAGAATGAGAAAGATAAAGATGATGATGAAGATGATAACAATGATTGGGTTGATAATAATAGCAGTAATAATAATGATAATGATAGTAGTAAAATAATAAAATGATAATGATTAGTAAAATAATAATAATGATAATGATAGTAGTAAAATAATAATAATGATAATGATAGTAGTAAAATAATAATGATGATAATGATAGTAGTAAAATAATAATGATAACAATAAGATTAATATTAAGAATGATAATCATGATGATGGCAATGATGACAATGATAATGATAACAGCAATGCTGATGATAATTATGATAACAATAGTAATATTTATGGTGAAAATGGTAATGATATTAGCAATAATAACAACAACAACGATTGCATGATAACAATAACAATAGAAATGATATTAACACATGCTAAATATGATAATAATAATAGATAATATCATGATAATGCATGTTAATGAAAATTATATTAGTACTACTATTAATAATGATGATAATGATAATAACAACAATAATAAGAAATGTCAATTGGTCAGCTACTCTTTACAGTATAGGGAGTATGGTTATAGGGCGATTGTTATTAACTACGATAGACAATATAGAGAATGTAGTGATAGAACAACAGTTATTATCTTTGTCTATCTGGATTTGACAACTGGTGTTTCTGAAGCAATATGAAGTCAACGGTGACTAGAGATCTATTACTGATGTCAGTTAGGTAATATGCTTGTGCAGGTAGACTCTCATTAAATTTAAATGTAATGGCATCCTCTCTCACAGCATGAGTTTTACGTAGGTGTTTTACTGTAAGGATTAATGTTTTTATTCTTACTGGTTGTGGTATGAAATTATTGGTTGGCGGCCTTTTATTACCTGCATTTTGTTGATATTTGGAAGTTGTTAGTTTATACGTGAGTTTTCTCATTTTGGCGGAGTCACTCGTGCTAATTCTGGAATTCATGTTAATTTCTCTGTAATGTCTTTGTTGGTTTTGTTTTGGTTTGTTTGAAGCTAATGTTTTATAAACTTCAATTCCTTAGCAGATTTGGTGTTACAGCAGTCATATTCTTAGGAAAATAATCGGATCTGTCACTTCTCTTTTGTTTATAATTAGCCTGGAGGACTATATCAAGGCTGTTACTTTTGAGAAGTTTATAAGTGTTATTTCTTTCTACTATGGTTCTCTTCATGTTGCCATCTATCAGTAATATCATGGAGGGGAGAATGAAAAAGGTTGGAAACCCCTGTGTAGATGAACAAAAACCCGATAACAATAACAATAAGTCATGGTGATGACAATTCCGTTAGTAATCATAGCGTTGCTGTTGAGACAAAGTTGAAACAGAAGCCAATGTATGTGTTTGAAAATGCATTCTTTGGAAGTGATTCCTGCATGGAGCAATTAACGACGCTAAATATGTGTGATATCTTATACTGCTTCAATTTTAGGAAATCACGATGAAGAACAGGTAGAGTGTAATGATTTTATCAGCAATTAGTCCATCTCGCATCAGAGGTAGCGAAAGAAAAAATTAATTGCCTTGACTTTTGACAATTAATGAAGTTATTAGTCGTACAATGCTAAGCCCAAATTCGATAAGAAAAGACCATCTGCATCACACAAGAAAAACGCCGTTTGGTTCAAGACAAGACGGCACAGCGGCAACCCGCAACGCAGTCGATTCCACAATAACAAAATATTATTTGCTTGAATGCTTGAAAATCAAAAACGCTGCTTGCTCCATTCGGTCCCACGTGCTTCACCGCATGCATGGCAAGACCTG